ATATAGGAAAGTATCTCAATACTCAAATGGTAAGCCTCATATGAATTAGAAGATTGAACTTAATTAGCGATCAGCCAAACTGATCATAGAAGGCCGGAGAATCATTCATCTTACTCTCGTTCCTACTTTTTACTCTCCTCATTTAATTGCTTTCCGTCTTATAAATTGTCTACTGATTTAATTAGCGTTGGAGTTCTAACGTCTTAATTCAAGTTCCCCCTGAAGAAGTATAATAAGGTGACAGAAGCCTGCTCAAGCGATGTCGGATTGGTCATTGATTCTAAGTATAAATTCAATCCTATGGTAAATCTTTTTTCTCATCTATCCAATTGAGCTGGATTTGGTGTTCTTAAGGGTTATCTCATGTCTGTTGATTATTACATGCATATTTGAATAAAATAAAGTAAAAAATCTTGAATTAGGTATTACTCAAGGTTGACTTGAAAGGCAAATATTTATTAATTCTACTTCTATTTCTTATCATGTAGAAAAAAAAAAAAAAAATTGTCGATATTTAGACAGTGATGTTTCTAGCGCTGAAGACAAAACACGAAATCAACCTACAATAAAGTCTTCATCTACCGGCAGGCGCATGGCATGATGTGCATGAGTATTTTCGTTTTTCAAAAGTTTCAGCTCGTACGTCTTTTTCTACTTCTTGATTTGGATGAAAGTTGGACCCAAATGATACAATTATACAAATTCTATATAATATAATAATAATAATATGTGTACACACACATTCACACGCGAAAATTCAACACTTCACTTTCATAGTCAAGATCTTGTTGTACGTGATTGTCGTGCGTACGTGGCTATTGTTATCGCAAGAAATCCTTCAGCATTAAATCTTAGATCTCAGATCATGATTGATCGAGTAGATTTGCTAAAAATGTTTTGTCAATTTCGGGGGGTTATTAATGGATAGATGAATCTATATGAATGAACTTTGTGTTGAAAACACTTGTAGGGGCAGATTTAGGCATCATTCAGGCCAGAATAAAATAATTTCTCTCGCATGTGTTTGTCAAGCCTCCAAGGTTATATTAATATAAAAGCATATCTAATTATTTAATGGCCGTTTGGTTCATGGATTAAAACTATGAGATTAGAATCATTTTACGTGTGTTTTTTATGAGAGAAAATACTGTAGCGAATCATAAACCATGATTCGAATCAGAGAACGAATCCTCCAACCAAACGGGCAACACTATTCACTACAACACAAGACACAATAACCTCAATCAAACCACGTCAGTTAGCGCCTTTGACTGAAGTTAAAAAGGTATTACCTCACTCTCTTATCAACCGACGTATAAGTGGTAAAAGAATACCTTCTTAAGTCTGTTATTCTGCAACAAATGTTATCTTGACGCCACGTACACAAAATACCGGGAGTACTACTCCTTCTGTTTCGACTTTGATTTTTAACCGATGTCATAAGCCTTCTGTGTTCTGTGTTAAAAAACTTTTATAAATTACAAATTAAGCTAGTAATTATGACAAAAGTAGATATAAAATTCAAAATAGTATACGCATCGAGCATAAAATATAATAATATATCAAATATATAAATTTCACACTTTTTATTTATACCAAATATAACATTAGTATTGAAATTTACATTGAATATGTATAAGCAATAATTATGAGTTAACATAATGAAATTGATTTGAAACATGTAAATCATATATAGGATGTGATTCAAGTCGTTCTACGAATTATATTATTGCTTCACAAACAAAGCACTATCTTTTCAAGTACTTCCATACAGAAGTAAAACGTCTTGTAAGAGATAAAACCCTAAGAAATAGCACATAGAATTTGTTCTCCAACAAGTAGCATTGAGAATTTGTTCTAGCATAATACCACTAACAACATTACCATACTGCTAATTAGTTGCGTAGCTATATATAGCTAGGGTGGCCAAAGTGGCCTACGGCTTCCTCCATAAGCAGCTTATCAATTTCATAAATATATAATTTATTTTTGCTATATGTGAAGCCCTTGTCGTTTTATAATATCTTGATTGCCATATTGCTGACACAAGAGACACTCAAATTTAGGAGTAATAACGTAAGAAAATTATGAAAATAAAAAAGAGAAAGCGACAGAAAATAATACTGATCTAGCTAGCTAGACTTTTTCTTTTCTTCTTCCACACCACATATATCTACTTTTCATGAAAAACTCATAATAACGTAGAAACAAATGTCCTTATGAGACAAGACCAAGCGATTATTGTGCTCAACACACACACACACACACACACACATATATATCTTCAGCAGAGTGCAGCATTTAGTCGGCAAGAAGGTGTAAAAATGTAACCATTCTTACTTTTGGTCATCATTACTATATTCATACTTAATTCATTTTCTAACTCCTACTACATTTTAACTGTAACTCCTAAAATTTAGAATAACTTTTTTTTCCCTTCAAAAGTAAAATAAACAATAATATGCTTTGTCGAAATAAAACTTCAATCAATAATTCATGTAAAACTCGAATATCAAAAATACTTTTCTGAAAACATTTTTAACTTTTTAACATTGAGTAATTTGTAAATAAAGTTTCTCTTAAGACATTAAAATTCGCTCTTAGGCATGGACATACATTCGACTTACCATTTGCATACCATTGCCGTTCTCATGCCATTAACCTGATAGTATTTTGGATACATTAACATACCTTGCAACTTGAGGTTGCTATGCATAGCCTCGTTGTCTCGTACACTTTACTTTAATTACATAACTTGTTTACATTCATAAACATTATTTACTTTATACACATAAAGCTTAGTAGCGTTTTCAAAACACGTAATGCATCCATTACCCACTTGCCCACATCTCACTGCTACATTTTTTTATGCACGCCCATCATACAAGTTTCAAGGAATTGGTGCCTTACTCGAACTTCCTACAACACGAACAAATGGGATGAGCTTTCGCTTAGTAAGTAACAACAGTTCACAATAAATTCTAACAGTAATGCATACCCATATATGCATTCATATCATACATCCTAATACATTTCCTGATAGAAGTGTTCATCGTATTATGTTTTCTTTTCTTTCGTATTATACTTTCTTTTCTTTCATTTCATACTTCTTGACATCTTTTGTTTGTGGTGTCGTTCATTTTTCATAACTTTTACTTCTTATGAGCCCCAATCTTGTTGTACCGTTGCGCGCATAACCAGTGAGGAGTGGGATAGCGATCCAAAACCAACTCACTCACGGGTTTGATTCATTCACAATTATAATAACATTTCCTTGTGAAGGCCGGTACAAACAGTTTGGCCGGTACAAACAGTTTTATTAACTTCTTATCGTTTGTCATCTTTACTTATTCATCACCATACTGTCATCATTTCACATTATAACAGTAATTTTAATCTTTTCATTTTACTGTCATTTTTTTTATCATGACAGTAATTTTAACCATTCATTCTTAATAATTATCTTATTTCGGTTCAATTTAATTCCTATCCGGTGCGCGTTTTACCTGCGGTTTTCGAACAGTTGGTCAACTTGGTCAACTTTACTCAACCTTGACTAACTTTTCAAGAGTGACCTATTGGTCGACTCTTGGTCAAAAAAATTTGACTCGGTCAACCCTAATCGGTTGAAAATCCTAATTTTCTCAATTCAGCCTTATGAACCCTTTTTTTGTCCGTTCTTCGTTTTGATTGTTTCTAAAACTTTAGAATTGATGTTTTTCAATTCTTTTTCATTCCTTAAACTTAATATTCATGTGTTTATCCTCTTGTAGGATTATGACAACATTCCGAGCCTTTTTCTTGATTAGAGTCTGAAATTTGATAATTGCATCACAGTTCAGAAATTTCTAACTTTTAGCTTATACTTTGGTATTCAATAGTAATATCAACAAATACTTATCATAAAGGTATTTATATTTATAATACAGAGAATTCCATAAAATTTCATCTTACATAATAATTTTTTTAACAAATTTTCCGGTCATGACAAAAAAAAAAGAAAAGAAAAGGAACAAAGAAAAGGAGAACATGTAAATTATAACTTATATTGTACTTGATATAAGAAATATATATAGGTGGTACATTACGTGCATCAAGTAATTAAAGAATAAGGTTTATGTAGGGTTGTTCATAAACTCGCAAAACCCGCAGGCCCAACCTATCTCACCCCAATCCAACTCGAAAAATGCAATTTCTAGTATTAAATTTTTTTTTCGGCCCATTTAATGTTTGGTCCGAAGTTTTGGGGGGGGGGGGGGGGAGGTATGCATTGGGCCTATAATGGCCCGCACACCCCAACCCAACCCGCGTTCTAACTTGCCTCCTCTAATATCTAACCCTAGACAGGCAACTCATTTCTACTCTCTAGTTTCTTCATGTTTGAATTAAGCCTCTATGTTTGCTTTATGTTAAGACTAATTTATGAGTGTAGACTAATTTATGTTTGCTTTATGTTTGATGAATTACTTTACTTCATGTTTGATGTTGGATTGAACTTTGAGTTTTTGATTCTTTAAATATTTAAACCGACCACCCAATCCACCCCGCACCACCCAAACCCAACCCAAACATCATTGGGTTGTGAAAATTTTCTAATATCGTTAGGGCCAAATATGTGCAATCCATACCTTTTGGGTGAGGGAAGAAAAAGTTTTACCCCGCACCAACTCAACCCATGAACAGCCTTAGGTTTATGTACGATATTTGACAAATCTAATGTGCCAAGAAATACCAACCACGTGATTTGTTGCATGTGAGAGCGGCCCTAGTGATAATTTTGCATGTTTAATATTTATGGCCGGTTCTTTTTCTAATTTGTCTTTAACCTAGAATATAGTAGCTGTGAGAGTTACATCTAGAAACATTGTGGGTGTAATAACTTTAATTACAAGTTGAATGTGGCGAACAGGTAGTGGTTGAAACCATTTAATGTTGAAATTAAAAAGTAAGAGCTTTTAGTACTATAAATAGGGCAGTTCTGTTAAGGTTCTCATCATCGACAAGCTATCTAGCTCTCTACATTGTATACTTCTAAAAATATATATATATCGGAAATGGCTTCTGGGGCTTGGAGAATCGTTTTGTTATCTCTTTTTTTCTTTAATGTTTTTGTGGTGAGTGTTGTTGCGAGGGATATTGCAGTTACTTCGAAGGAAGATGAGGAGGAGAAGACGTTAGAACATGGGAAGGGAGATGGCTTTGGTGTTGGACTCGGTGGCGGTGGCGGCTTCGGAGGCGGCGGAGGGTTTGGTGGTGGTGCTGGTGGCGGCTTTGGTAAGGGTGGTGGTTACGGTAAAGGCGGTGGTGGTGGCTTTGGCAAGGGTGGTGGAGGAGGCGGCGGTTACGGCAAGGGTGGTGGAGGAGGCGGCGGTTTCGGAAAGGGTGGAGGAGGCGGCGGCGGGTATGGGAAGGGTGGAGGCGGCGGCGGCGGCTTTGGCAAGGGTGGAGGAGGGGGGGGGGGCTTTGGAAAGGGGGGAGGAGGCGGCGGGGGCTTTGGAAAGGGGGGAGGAGGCGGCGGTTACGGCAAGGGTGGTGGAGGCGGTGGCGGTTTTGGCAAGGGTGGAGGAGGAGGTGGAGGCTTTGGAAAGGGTGGTGGCTATGGAGGAGGACATGGGAAAGGTGGTGGTGGATATGGTGGTGGAGGACATGGGAAAGGTGGTGGTGGATATGGTGGTGGAGGACATGGGAAAGGTGGTGGATTTGGAGGCGGCGGTGGCTTTGGAGGGGGACACGGAAAGGGCGGTGGATTTGGCGGAGGTGGTAAGGGTGGTGGCTACGGTGGCGGTGGTGGATATGGAGGCGGTGGCGGTGGTGGCTATGGTGGCGGCGGAGGTGGTGGCAATGGACACCCCTAAATTAAGTTCACGATGTATGCATAGTTAGTGATCACGAGATGGATGCAAAAATAATAAGTTCACAAATTTGATAGTATTTTAAGCGCATGCATACCTAATATGATAGACGTTTGGCGCAACTAGTAATAATCTCCGTCATGTCTTCTTCTGCGTATTCTCTTCTATGAAATTAAGTTCATGTATTCTTCAATATAAATGCTAGAAAAGAGTGGAGAGGCAATTATGTACAAGTGTGTATCTGCTTTCCTTAATAAAATCTGTTTACTTTTTGAGTTATACATATTAACTACTTTTTCTTACTTTTTCAGAGTCTTTAGACTGCTCACTCTCTTCTTCTGGTTTTTTTTTTTTTTTTTTTTTAATCGATAGTTAAATTTCTTTGAGTAGACCAGAACTAGTTTTTTATATATGGTATGACAAACTTAATTACTCCTCTTAATCTTAATTTAAAAAAAAAAAAAACAAAATTTTCATGAGTTAAACTAAGGATGACAATTCGTGTTCGTGTTTGTGTTGACTCCCTCAGTTAACACGGTATGACCTGACACGAACACAACCTATATTTGTGTCAAAATACAAAACTCAAACACGACCTATATATTGACGGGTTGACACGACATGATACGACTAATCCGTTTATTAAACCGGTCATAATAGTGTCGTGTCAACATGTTTCTAATAACTCGTTTATTATTTCGTTTATAAAATGAGTGATAACAAAGTCGTGTCAACCTATTTCTCAACCTGTTTTTCTTTTAAAATATATATATATATATATATATATATATATTTGTAAACATAGGTAACAAACAGATTGTAATTGTGCTGTATATTCGTGTTATCTAAATATAACATGTTTAGTTACGACGGGTCAATAGCGAGTTGGTGGGTCAACTTGAAAGCGACACACTATTTAATCTTATTTCACTGGTTCGACTTGATTTTGACCTAAATCTATTTATAATAAACTCAAACCCGCTAATTTCGTACGGATTTTAAGTCGTATCGCTACCTGCATTGTCAGTTGAACTAACTATGGAGAAGAGACTTAAACCTACTAACCTAGCTATAAACCAAAACAAATATAAAAGCAATCTAATAACTTTCCTGGCTAATCAAGAGCAGATTGGGACAGCCAAGCATACATATATGTACTAGTAGGGAACAAGAAGAAATTATGGCGTGGTTAGATAATCATATATAAGAGAGATTGCCTTCTTATCTCCACGACTTAGTTGCAGGGTTGACTTGTTTTATGGGTTTCCGCCGGTCCATATTGAAGGGATTGTTGGGACCGATGTACCCATGTAGGAATTGGAATTTGAAAAGGACACAAATTTGAGAAAAATTTTGGGGAATGTGTGCCTCTTAATTTAACTTTTTTATTCTGTGCCATTTTAAGCAACGACACCGACTCGTTGCATGATCTGTAATGATCTCATATATCTTGGTGCAAGTTTCCATTTCACACCAAAATGAGAGATTCCTTTGCGTGGAGAAACTCTTAACAATACAAAGTCGCCTTCCTGGAACTCAAAAGGTCTACGCCTTCTGTCAGCATAGCTCTTATGACGACTATGAACTGTCAGTAATCGTTCCCGAATAACAGTTATCTTCTCGTTGTTTTCCTAGATGTCACCGGTCCAAGTACTACAACAAATATCATTATCAATAGCTAACCAAAAACGATATTAAGCACTACCAATAGCGTTTTGTGGAGCACTAAGACATCAGGCACCATGCTCGAATTTATTTCTAATTCGAGGCATATTCTCTTTTCTAAAATTCCACTTTCGTAAACTATGATTCGCGAATATCAAATTTTCCATAAGATTTTTCATGTATATAATCGCTATATATATATATATATATGCACATATACTTTTCAAAATCCTTTTTAAAGTCTCAACACCGGTGAAACTGACCCTTTTCACCAAGAAGTGAAAATCCATGAAGTATGTCCAAAAGGGAAGAGAAATTCAATCTCATGCTCAAACAATATCAAAACTCAAGAAAAGAACATGCTAAGTTCAATAATGATATGTAAAACATCCATGAATACATAAACACTCCAATAAGAGCCATTAAGTCTCTTCAAGATATCATAGTTATCAAGTCTTTGTTTTTTTTCCTTTTAACACTTTTCATCGTATTCCCTTTAGAACCTCATATTTTTTGTTTAACAACCACAAACGCTCTAAACTACCAATCGTTCAGTTATAAATCAATTTCTAACTCGAATCCATATTCTTCATAAATCTAGTTAATTAGCAGATTCGTTGACCTTGACGGGAATATTCATAAATTATTATCGAAGTCTCCAAAAATTTGAAAATGAACTCCATAATAAATTAGACACGTGGATCTTTTCAACGAGCTATCATATGCCCAAATATGAGCTCTATAAATCCCTCAAAAATAGTTTTCAAGAAATTAAAATTCTATTTTTTTCTTGGTTTTGACAGCTTTCGGAAAGTTTCTACATGAAACTTCCAATGCACACAACTCGGGTTATAAGATTCCAAGTGACGTGATTCTAACTCCCACATGTCACTAATAATATGTTCTAAATGGTAGCAATGGTGGTTTAGGTGCAACAATCTTATTTCAAAATGTAGGGGTCTCAGTTCTTTGTTTTATCAATTCCTTGAAAAGACAGTTTTGACGGCTGTTACGGAAATAATCATAAAATATTCTATGCAGCCCCGAAAATTACAAAATTAGCGTCTAATTGAAGTAGACATCTAGGACTTTCTAATGACATCACAAGCTTTGTTTTGGGCTTATTAAGATCTCTAAAAATATATTATACCATATCAAAACGTGGCTTTTTTCTGCAGAATTTTTAAAAATCATGCTTAACTTTAAAAATGCATAACTAGAGATATGACTGTCTGTTTGAGGTGATTCTTGCGGCTATACTTTAAAGTTCTAACAAGGTTAACCCTTAAAAATTATCAAATAATTACAGTTTTTAGTTTAAACACAAGCAGCCACGTTGTAATCCTCATAAACTTACCATTTTGTTTATGATGCTTGTTCATGCTTTGTCTACGAAATAAGCTTTATGCTTTCACATACCTTTTCCATTATCATCTCTAAAGTTCTTAGTAACATTAGGAATTCCTAACTAAGTAATTGAGTCAACACTAGTCTTTAACACCTAAAATGATGCTTGACTAAATCATAGATACCATTGGCGAAACTCAGAAAATAAGCAATTTTAATAGTAACAGGAAACACAGAAAATAAGACGAACTCCGCTGAAATTTAGTTTGAGAATTTGAAATTAAACCTAGTTTTAGCTCTAGAATTTGAGTTTAAACTTAGTTTTAGTTCTAAATAGAAGTTTTAAACTATTTTCTTAGAAAAAAATACTACATAACTGTTAAAACAATTTTGGTGTTGAACAGAGGAGTTCGCTAAAGAACTCGAAGTATAATCTTAGGAAAGTATGTCAATTTCAGACTTTACTGATAAAAAGTAAGGTAATCAGGATTCAATAAACCTAATATTTAAATTAGAAAAAAGGTTTTACAATCCTTAAGATAGGAAAAGATAAAGTGAGCCATAAATACAGAAGTTAGACTTTCTTTCAACCTTGCTAAAATAGAATAGCAAGTGATAGTTAATCTCACACCCTTAATGGGTGTTCATTCTCAGAAGCAAGAAAGGAAGAGAACAGACTCTTTGGCGAATAGAGGATTCCACTTCCTGAAAACAGGTAAGTAGGAATCTCGCCTACAGTATAAATAGATTTTAAAATGAATAGTACACATGAATTATATGTGTTTGAGCACATTTAATGTTATGTATGCTATGCTATGCTATGTTATATTGCATAAACTTAAGCAGTGCACATGAATTATATGTGTTTGAGTACATTCCATGTTACAGTATGCTATGCTATGTCATTTTGCATACACAGATAAGTCAAGAGGAACTTATAAGAATAATCTCAGTTGAGTGTCATACCAGCCTCTGAGAGTGAGGTAACTCAGGCTCTGCAAGGGAGAAGAAAAAAATAATAATAAAGTCCTCTGAGAGGGAGGCATTCAGTTCAGTTTATAATCACGGTGTCGTTGGGGACGTTACAAACCCTCACATATCGATGATTGCGGCAAGTGGTATGAGCACTCGGGCCTATCAGAAAGTAAGATAAGTTCAAATAGTAAAACACATACAATAAAACTTTAATAAGACATCATAAATCAGCATAATCAACTCATGCATATCTTTCATGTGAACTTTCAGTTATTTTTTGAGTAATAGTTCCTACTTGCTGAGCGAAAGCTCATTTCAGAGTATTTATACTATAGGTAAGCAACATGCACATAATGTTTGATGGACTGATGGCGAGGTAGCAGACGAGCGGAGTAGAGGTTGGGGAATGGATACCGCACGCAGTTATTTCCGCAACAGTTTAAGGTTTTAAAAAGATTTTTGTTGAATATGTCTATGCACTTGTGTTTTGAAAGTTTGCAGTACGATTGTTAAGTTTGTGTAAGCTAGCAGGATTTTGAGAAGCAAAAATATAACTATGTGTAAATTCATGCTTTAGAAAAGAAATTGTTTTTGAAGTATAAACACTTTGCTATGTTCAAAAAGTGGACACCAGAATTTATGTCGTTACAGTAAGTTTTTAAAAGAATGATATAGTTCTTTAAGAGAAAGAAACTTATGCTCAGAATGCTACAACATTCTATACAGTATTTTAAAGAAAATACTACAGCATTCTATATAGCATTTTAAAAATAAAATGCTACAGCATTCATACAACATTTAAAAAAAAAAAAGCTGTAGCATTCTAGGTAGCATTTTTAAAAAAAAAAATCTCTCAAATTTGGGAGTTTCAGAAAGCATATGTTAAAGTTAGTTACAATGACGGCCAATTCAGCAAGTTCGTTACAACTTCAACCTTCATTGAACACCTCTGAGGTAATTTCTATTTTTTAACTCTGCTTGAACCCCCTTCAACCCTGTTAATTTTGGGTTTTCTACTTAAAAAAAAAAAATTATATATATATAGAGGAGATTATATGAGTCAACGGGACTAACCAGGAAAGAAAATAATATTACAATAATTGCAGTGAAATGATATCCATCCCAGTTTATCCAAACAGAGGGATCCTTACAAACCTTTCCCACTAAAATCTCTTTTCCATTCACTTTCATCTTCAAACCACACCCCGTGCTCACGTTGTAGTTGTAATTCCCGCCATGACCACAACATGTTCTTAGTGGTTGTTCAAACCCTGCCATTGTTTTTGCACATACAAAAAAATTAGCTAATGTGTCCCCTGATCCCCTCAAAATTTTTTAATATTATATACCTGTCCTTTGTTTTCTAAACATAAACGAGCATTATTAGTGCCATCCCGCCACTATCTTCTTCATTTTTTTAGAAATTTTGGGATTTCCTAAAAAAAACGCGTTCAATTTATACTCCTGCCATTGAAAGCTCAATGTTACACAGTTTATTGGTCTAGCGGAGACCTCAAAGTGGAATTATAGAGTATCGAATCTTGAACACATCTTAAGATGCGAAAAAGAAAGACATCTTAACTATTACATTACATCTATTATGCGATGACACATAATAGTGCCTAAAAGAAACTTTTTTGTTTGGTGGAAGATAGAGAATATACATACCATGCTTCTTTGGCTGGCTAAAGAGGAAGTACTTTACTGAATAAACATCAACATAAGGGACCAGTGTTGTGTATCCAAAAGTATCTACCTCCTTGGCCATACACATTCTGCAAAATCACAAGATTAAGGAGCTAGAATTGGGGACCATAATATGCAAAAGAAAAAGTTGTTCACAAATATTTGTTTTTGATCCCATCACTAGCTAACCTTAACAATTGTTTTGAACTGATTTAGTAGCTCAGGTACATATGCTTTAACTTCGCCCGTGGTCATGTTGAAGAAGTAACCAGCAGTTAAATCGTTCTGACCAATGTCAAATGTGTACAAAGCGCGAGAGAAAACTTCAGCCTTTGGCAAAAGCTTTTCAAAAACTCCACCTACAATATTGAGTTTTACATATCTTTGACCCATTGAGTTTTGCTAATTACCTTCATAAAGAATTAGTACTTAAAGATGAAAAAAACATGAGAAAAATGTTTCACCTCTTTGACAAGTAGTTTGAGATCTACTGTCAAATATGGAAATTTAAAGCTCTCAGCCGCCAAATCATTATAGAGGAAAAAAATTTGTTAAATGGAGTGGTGATAAAATGGAGCAAATATTGTAGTAATACTTGATGCGATAAAACGACCAAGCTTTGTTGGAGATATCATGCTAGAAATTTTTTAGGCGTTGGGATGATGGACAAATTGATTTTGAACGATGAAATTTGAGCTGTTTTTATTAGGTGACACCCAACAATAATAATAATAATAAATGTTCAGATTTTTTTTTAACCATCAAATAACACCTGAAAATGCGTTGCATGGTACGATCAAAATTAGTTCAGATAGAATCTTTTTAACTCGGTTTTCACTTGTTTCCTTACTCTATATACATGGTTAATTGTAGCACACCTTTGATTTTATATTTTCTGTTTCCTTTTGATTCATTATAAAAAGGATTAATAGAAAATTTTCCCATGAACTATACTCCTTGTAACACTTTACCCCCCAATTTTTAAAACGTAACATATGTTCTTCCTGAACAATGAAATGTTAACAAAAAAACTCATTCTATTAGGTTGATTGAACGTAACAAAAAATTTAGTTTGAATTTAAAACTAATTTAAAATTAAACTTTAAATTATGATACATCTATTGTTGATTGAACGTACGTTAAAAATTTTATGAATCTTTTTTTATTGAATAAAAAAATTTATGATATTTTTTAAAATATTTAAATTAGTTTAAATTCAAATTAAATTTAAACCTTAAATGTCTTCAAAATAATAAATTAAATGTCAATTTCAGTTAAAAACCCAACGGATATGTTTTTTTTTTTTTTTTGATTAACATTTCATTATTAAGAATGAACGAATATTACGTTTTAAAGATGAGAAGGCAAAATGTTATAAAGGTATAATTCAAAAGGAAGTTTTGTAATTAATCCTTATAAAAACTTTCTAAAACTAGGAGGATAGCTTTTGAATTATTGAAGCCAACGTTGCTTTCTTATTACTATCTAGAAAGTAGAAACTAGCATGCTGCACTGCACTAAAGTGTAAAGTGGAACCAAGGGGTTGGTGGATGCTGGTGAGGATATGATGTTAAAAGAGAAACTTTTCTACAGCTTTTACCCAAATGAGATTGCTTCCATGGTTAAATGTCATGTTAATAAAATAATGGTTTCAAGATTGTATCAAGAAATAAATGTCAAGATGTGTAGAGCTTCTTTTTTCTCTCTCTATTCTTTTTTTCTTCCTAATTTTCTTTGACACAGTCGGTAGTGTACAAGATTCTAAGTAGTTCCAACAGTACTCAAGTAGTACCTCAAATAATTGTTCAATTTTTCCTATGATAGAACTAGCTTTCATGACCTTAGTTCGAAGGAGAAAACTATATATAATTGCCTGTGTGATCGTTCAAGCTTTCTAATCTCTGAAATCTTCCCGTCCTTTTTTCCGTTTTTGATAATTTATGAGTCACAGAGTTCTAACAGAAACTTTACGTACTGGTTAATCTTTATCTCCCGTTTGGTTGAAAGATTCGTTCTCTGATTCAAATCATGATTCATGGTTCGTTACAGTATTTTCTCTCACAAAAAACACACGTAAATAAAAAATAATTCTAATCTTATAGTTCTAATCCATAAACCAAACGGATATTACTTCCACGTTTATAAATATGGCAACATTTTCAGGGTAAGAGAGAGAGAGAGCAAGAAAAGAAAGAAACTACTCAAGTTGAGAAATATGACATGCTCGATAAGAGAACTTAACTAATCTCTCCCTTCTCTCTCATGTCATTGTAAGGAAAAAAAAACACGTTTAGTTTGCTAATTCAAGTTTTTAACTCGAATTGAGATGTGACTTTTTATGAAAATTTTTTACTGTAATAAAAAAAATTATATGTAACTATTTCTGAGAATTTTTTACTATAACAAAACTCAAATTTTAAACTCAAATCGGTGAAATGAATATATCGAAATATCACACATACCAAAGTTATGAGAGAGGAAATGTGCCTATGAAATCAATGACAAGACGGCCATCACAGTAGCGGCCAGCAGGTTTGTGGAAATATGATTCGCCATTAGGAGGAGGGTTATATGCATATATTGCAGTCAAACCACTGGTGTCGGAGTTCGAATCGCCGAAGTTAAATATGGCCGGAAATTCACATGGAGTACTTGTCTCCGCCAACCTCACTGAGAGTGATATAAGAAGAGTGATGACAACATATGTGAAGCAATGTGATTCCATGAGAAGATTTATGTTTGTGGGAAAGAGAGTTGGACAAAGAAGAATGACTAAAAATGATTTAAGTAGAGCGGATGCACAACGGTCGCTCAAGGATTATTGGAATTTAGTGGGCCTTGTTTACAATGGATCTTCTTTGAATGTTTGAATGAGATTTGATCTTTTTGTATATACGTATATAGATATACAGATCTGGGTTTTCTTTTAAAGCTTGGGTTTTTCTCTAAATTTTGAGTTGTTTAAATGATATTGGATATGTTGCTTTTCAAGGGAAAAAAAAATCTGAAAATTGGATGTTTTGAAGGTGTTTCGAGTCTGATATGAGTTTCTGATTAGTTCGGTATGCCCTTCGAGAGGTGAAAATTGGATTTTTCCTATGAGCTTTTTGATGATTTTTGGGGGAAAAAAAATCGAGTTATTTAATTTTTAAAATTTCTTTCGTCACATTTTTTTATTATTCTTTATCATTTTTTAATATTAAGTAGTTTTATTGATTTAATTGAAATTTAACACCAGTAATGAATATTTAATAGTATGCCACGTCAAAAATCTATTTAGACTATAGATGAAAGAAATGAAAAGAGTATTTTAATCCGTTTGTTATAAATTAGGGTGTTTTAAACTGTTTAAAAAAATCATGAGACACTTAAAAAGAAAATAAAATACTTCAGGAGCATTTATAAAATTAATCCAAAAGAGTATTTTGATCCTTTTGTTATAAATTAGGGCGTTTTAAATTGTTTAAAAAAATCAGGAGACATTTGAAACAAAATAAAATACTTCAAGGGTATTTATAAAATTAATCCAAAATAATTTGGTATGCATGTAGTAAGAAATATTTAGAGATAAATTGTCCGTTTAGTTCGCTGATTTGAGTTTTTAATTCGAGTTGAGATGTGATTTTATGTGAGAGCTTTTTACTGTAATAAAAAAGTTAAATGTGACTGTTTCTGAGAGCTTTTTACTGTAACAAAACTCAAATTTTAAACTCGAATCGATAAAATGAACGGAGCTTTAATCTTAATCTTGCTTAAACATTACTTGAACCTTCATTGAACAGCTGTGAGGTAAAATGAATGGGGCTGCGAAAAACCTAATACAACATTATCAAATCTTCCGCTTACCATTCATATAATACGTAAGCCTAAATGAGAGTAGGCTACTAGGCTTGATCACTCAAAATATGCATCCAACTTCAATGAACCTTCTATTACCTTTGTTAATTTGTTTAATCTTAATCTTGCTTAAACATTACTTGAACCTTCATTGAACAGCTGTGAGGTAATTTCCATTTTTTTAACTCTGCTAAACTGAACCCCCTTCAACCCTGCTAATCTTGCGTTTTCTCATGATAATCCCAATCTTACCATTCGTGGCATTTGCTCAACTCAGTGGTTGAATTTCAGGCAAAAAAAAAAAAATGCCTTAGTGGTTGAATTTTATGCTAATTCCAATATTATCCTGCTTTACTATTAAAATTGTTGTCGTCCCACACTTTTTTCTTTTCTTTTTTTTTTTCTTTTTGAGTGAATCCCACACTTTCATTTAGTCTTTTACTTTTACGCCCTCGCCCACCATAAATTAGATCTTCCCAAACAACCACCCGGACCACATAATTTGCCGTTTCTATTCAATGCTTGCATGTAATTGGATTGTTAAAGAGTGTGAAATGCACTCTACACAAAATTCACGCGACGCAGCCAATTAATAGGTAGGAGACATTTTGCTGCTATATAACCAAAAACAAACTGCCGTTAATTCTCTAACTTCTGTTCAGTCATTTTCTTTTGAAATGTACTTCTTCTGATGCACACAAAACTTGTGATCTTTTTTCTTTCGATGGACATCCCAACGTCCATATAATGCTTCCAAAAATCACGACATCTTGCTTCACCATTAAGGTAAAGAGTATACACATATAATTATCAATTTTAACCCAATTTTCTTGTTAAAATCTCTGCTATATATATGGAGTTTGAAAGTTTTGGCATAATATTTGCTGTAAGCGCTCTAGGTTTGATCTCTCTTTTGAAGTTGTTGATCAGTTTTGTGAGGTGGGTATGGATCATGTTCTTGAGACCCCCAAAGAATCTCAAGGAATACGGCTCATGGGCTATGATAACTGGCCCCACAGCCGGAATTGGCAAAGCCATCGCCTTTGAGCTTGCCTCAAAGGGCCTCAACCTTGTTTTGGTAGGTCGAAACCCTTCGAAACTCGAAGCCACTTCCGCGGAAATACGACGTGATCAAGTCGTCCAAGTGAAGACGGTTGTCATTGATTTGGCCAAGTCTAATGCTGAGGAAATAGCTCGAGTTATAGACGACGAAACGAGAGGATTAGACGTCGGAGTTGTGATTAACAACGCGGGATTAGCGTACCCTTATGCGAGGTTCTTTGACGAGGTTGATTCGGATTTGATGGAGAGTATCATGAAGGTGAACATGGAAGCGCCCACGTGGATCACGTGGTCAGTTCTTCCGAGAATGCTCGAGAAGAAGAAAGGTGCCATTGTCAACATTGGCTCTGCCTCTTCTGCTGTTGCTCCTTCTTACCCTCTAGTTACCGTTTATGCTGCTTCCAAAGCGTATGTATAATTTGTTTAATTTTGATTCTTCGTTTTTGGATTTTTTTTTTATTATGATTTTTTTTAAAGAATTTTGTTTTGAATGTTGTTTCAAATATTCTTAATATACAGATACCTCGCCATGTTCTCAAGAAGCACGAGTGTAGAGTACAAGCAAAGCGGAATTGACATCCAGTGTCAGGTTAATTAATTATTCTTGTTTATGTTCACTAGTTTCTTGAACTTGGGTCTTGAAATTAATAGAAAAATGGCTGCAGTTCATCTGTCAACTAATTATTATGTCAAAGCATTAATCTTTCAAATAGAGAAGCAATTAGTGATATATATCCTCAAGTTTGGAAAAGAACTTGTATATAAAAGAGATCTGGAATTGTTTATTTCAATAATATTAGCCAGGCGACAGATATTAGAGTATAATTAAAAAATTGAAATAATGCATTTTCATTATTTTTTTTTTTTTGGGCATGGTGAAAAAAGTTGCATAATTTTGTTTTTAGGAAAAGTAATAAATAATACTGGTACCAATACAAGTACCAACTTTTTGAGGAAAAGAAAATATTTTCTCTCTTATTTCTTTCATATAAATAATTGAGACTTTAACGTTTGATGCATCATATAATAAATGTTATTGAGTACTATGCAGATTCCACTATTTGTGGCGACAAAGATGACAAAGCTAAAAGCAAAATCCTTCTTCATCCCATCGCCAGAAGCATATAGCAGAGCAAGCGTAAGAAGCATAGGCTATGAAATTGTCTGCGCGCCTTATTGGTTTCACTCTGTGCAATGGTTCATATCAGATCTGTTGCCTGATGCGTTACTCAACTGGTGCCTGTTTTCCTACTTTCTTGGGATGAGTAAGAGAGCAAAACTTAAGGAATCTCAGAAAATCAAAAAGTTTCAGCAGCAGTAAAAACTACACAGTTGTATATTAATGCTAAATACGCACGGCTATATATATATATATCCTATTTTGAGTGCGTTGAATGGTTTGGTACTGTAAACTGTTGATCAATCTCAACAAAAACTTAAGCAGTTAATTACAGTTAATTACATGATGTTTTGCTTGTCTTTTGAATCTCTTAAGTGGCGTTTGGTTCATGGATTCAAACCATGTGATTAGAATCATTTTCGATCTATGTATATTTTTTGTGAGAAAAAATATTGTAGCGAATCATGAATCATGATTCGAATCAGAGAACAAATCTAGGTACCAAATGGACTCTTAATTAGCAGATCAGACAGTAGTACTAGTCAGGCATATGATATATGTGGGGACTGAAGCGAACACAATTTAAACTGGCTCCGTTTGTTTCACTAATGTAGTTCAATTTAATTCAGTTTGAACAGTGAGTACAGTTTGAATTAGCGTTGGTAAGCATACAATTTGAATTATATTTTTCGTTTGAATTGAGCTAAACGGCCCAACTTAAAGTTTAGCTCCCCCATAAGTTCAACCGTTCAAATTATTTTTAAACAATAAAAAGTGTCAACTCTCTCTACTTTTCATACTTACTAAAAACAAATTCAAATTTTATTTTCTATTCAAATTAAAACTTTAACTATACATCTAAATGTCAATTCAAACTATAATTTAAACTACACAGTTTAAATTTTTATATTCAAATTAAAAAATTTAAATCAATAAAATTTAAATCACCGAACCAAACAAGATGATATAAAGCTTTTGTTTGTTTGAAGCACGTGATTTCTCTTAGTTTTTTTTTTTTGTTGGTAATAAATTAAAAGAACTCTGTTGTTGTTCTCTCAACTATTAAAAAAAATATAAATAAAATAATGGAGAGAGAGATTAGCATAAAGAGGGCCAGCTTTTTAAGACATACAGGTACGTGGCTGGGACATTTAAAAGATGTTTGGTTCATGAATTAGAATTATGTGATTATAATTATTTTTAATTTATGTGTATTTTTTATGAGAAAAAAATACTGTAACAAATTATAAATTATAATTCAAATCATGGTTTGAATCCTCTAACTAAACATCCTTATAGATCCATAAAAGGCTTCAAGGCTCTTTTGGGGTCTCAAGCTCAGAAAGGCCCAGGAAAGTTGTCCTCCTCGTTTGGTAGTTGCCTTTGCCTACGGATAATCCCACGAATGATCCCGATACTCATCTTCAATCCTACTTTGATTTTTAATTTTTAAAATATCTAACAATTAGTTCTTAATTTATTATGGTGTTTCAGTTTCAATTTTTTTAATTAGGTATTAAATATTTAACGAAATTTGTCAAAATTTTAAGTCAAAATTAGAAATGTTTATTAAAATTTAGAGACTAAAACAAATAACAAATAAGATTTAACTTTTATAAATAGTTCATAAATTTTAAACGTTTCCACTATTGATCTCTAATTATAATTCCATCAAATATTTAATACCAAAATAATAAAAAGACAACAACGGAAAGAATAATAGGTTAGGGACTAATTGTGAAGCATTTTAAATGTCAGAGGTTAAAGTAAAATTAGAAATAAATCTTAAAGTTGTTAAGATCAGTCTTTAAAAAGTAGGTAACGCCATCCATGATACGTTAGTAGACAGTAGACACCATAAAATATTCTTTTCAGACAATTTAGACAATTTCTGACTGGAAATGAATTTGTTTTTTAATAGCTGATAATTCAAGGTGGTTGTCCTTGTTGCTTACAATTGTCTGAAATATCTTCCAAGAAATCAGGATTCAGCTAAGTTTAATACGCAACAACTTGTCTAAATTGACTAATTTAACTAATTTAACATTTGCTCGAAAAGGCAGCTGAAAGTTGGTTGAGCCCGTTTAGTTCACGGATTAAAACTATGAGATTAGAATTATTTTTTATTTACGTGTGTTTTTTGTGAGAGAAAATACTGTAACGAACCATGAACCATGATTCGAATCAGAGAACGAATCTTCTAACTAAACGGGCTCAACTTGTGGAGTTAATAATTATCAAAAAATAAAAAAATTGTGGAGTTAATGTTTATGAAAAAAATTCCTAAAAAAAGGGGAAGAAAAACATATTATTTTTCTTAAAGACACGCGTAGACATAACATTAGGTTCAAGGAGTTCTTATGTTGTTCTTTCTGGTCATTTGCATTTATTGTTGTCAAAATCAAATAACATACTGTTGACAAAATTTCAATACAATACACACAAAAGTAACGCATACATGGTGATTAACGTGAACGTGATTAAAGTTTCTTTTGCTGAATATTCTCAAAGATGAAGTTAACTTCTCGTTTTTCATCCATTGGATGATAAAAAACAACAACAACAACAAGGATCTAAGCCGTCTAAAAAGGGGAAACTACACCGATAATTTTGTATTTTATCAATACTCGCCTTTTATTATGTTAAGTCTTAGATATGAAATGAAGAAAATCTGGTTAATTAGTTTCGACTATGGATCTAAGTCCACTCAATCCCTAACCCTTGCTTTTAGTTTAGAGAGAGAGAAAGAAAGTGAGCATATTAAAATGCGATTACCTAATAAAGTTGCAATTGAACATATTGAACAAGTTTAAATTGGGCCGTCTGAGGACTTTTATTGCTCTCCTTGTGCTTTAGGACCTCATTATAACAATATTATGCTCCGTTCATTTCACCGATATAAGTTTAGAATTCGAGTTTTACTATAATAAAAAGCTCTCACAAACAGTCACATATAACTTTTTTACTACAGTAACAAGTTCTCACATAAAGTCACATCTCAACTCGAATCAACGAACTAAACGGGCCTTTAGTGTGGTAAAAACTGTTATAAGGGTAAGAAGTTGCATCCTTTCAAATAGGAACTTATTAATCCATGAGCATACAACTTATTTGCAAAAATTACTTTTCAAAAAACTTTTATTTTACAAAACGAATTCGCTTTTCACATTGTGCATCTTGTTACAATAAGCGCCACGGTAAAAATGAAAGAAGGCCATTTTGCCATTCAATTCCTTGTCATGTAAAGGAAGCTGCTTAGTGATTTAAGCAGAATTTTTTTTCATTTTCCTTTTCCTTTCTAAGTGCATCTATTATTTCGTTACTGTTTTACCAACGACAACCGCTTAACTAATTTAAAACCATTAGTAATGATGATTGCATTCCAAGAAATAGACACTTCCTCAAATTGTAAGAGTTTCATGAGATTCCTGATGCAAGTTTCTTATCACGTAAAGAAAGCTACTTAGTGATTTAAGCAGATTTTTTTTTATTTTTTTATGTGAATTATCTAAGTGCATGTATTGTTCTTTTTCTGTTCTACCAACGATAACCGCTTAAATCGGATAGTATTTTGGCTTCCTTATATACATATATATATATATATATATATATATATATATAGCCCTCTTCATTTCCTCTTCATTTATGTATTTCTTTATTTAGAAAACTATATATTTTAAGTTTCTAACTAATAATTTTAGCTACGTACTTCGTGGAGCATATTTTTCGAAAAGAAAAATCAAATGAAATTACTATGGAGGACGATTGGAAAAGAGTACTGACAACTTTGTCGATTGCTATGGACTGACTAGTTTTACTCTAACAGATCCTTGCGGTTAGCAAATCAATTTATAATAGAGAGAAAGAGAGAAATAGATCAAGATTTGAGATGAATTAAAATTAATAGGCTAATAGTACACATAAGTTAATAAATAGGCCAAATTACTGTTTTTGTCCATAACTTGTCTGGTTATGAACCATAACTTGACAAGTTATTATCCATAGTTCACGGTTTTTGTCCATAACTTATCTGACTATGAACCATAACTTGACAAGTTTGTCCATAACTTATCTGATTATGAACCATAACTTGACAAGTTATGGCCTATTAATTTTTATAACTAAAAATTAACATATATACTTTATTAAGCTTTTCATACTGGCATATTTCCTACTATTTCCGTTTATAACCTAAAAAGCTATTGTTTGTTTAAAGAATGTGATTTCTCTCAAATGCTAATGCACATCCTGCCATCCACATTTAATTGGTTTTTTCAAATTTTTTTCTTTTTGATACTCACAAATTTTTTGTCTGTTCAATATTTTCAAATGTGGATACTCACATTTGATTCTTTTTGTATGGTTAATTATTTTCACTAAATCTAACTTAGAGGTAAATTTTGTCTAATTAGAAAAACAAAAAGATAATTTTACACACTTTGCTAATAAAATATATACACACACATATACATGTGGCACAGTTATAAATTATAAAGACTTCATCAAATTCTATTAAATTATCATATATTTATATATATTTTTTAATGTTATGTGATTTTAATGGATCAAAATTATGCTCTATCATTATGAAAATATTTAATGTTATGTGATTTTAATGGATCAGAATTATGTTCTATCATTATAGAATTTTTTCACGCCTTATTATAAAATTCTCCTTATTTTATGATTTAATCACTTGTCAATAGGGAATTCATACGGAGAATCACACATCGGGTGTTAGCGTTTATGCCCTTAGGAATAAATGTAACAATATTCTTTGAGATATTTTGACTATTAATAAAGATTTATTTATTTTATATATCTATGTATTGTCCTCTTTATGTTCATAATAGTTGAATGTATGATAAGCAAACTGAAAGTCTGAGACTGTCATTCTAAATCTTTAGGTCATGCATGTAATGTGAAGAACATGCGGAAGACAAGAATCTAAAGATGATAGTCTAAATCTTATGATCCACAATCGAGGGAATAAAGTTAGGCGCTTTATTCATGTTAAGATTGTTATGTTGTCTACTTCCTAACGGAGATGGCTTGTCTTGGTCGTCGGAGGTGGGACTCCATGGGTGGAGACATTGATATAGTTTCTAATGGTGAAATCTATATTGGATCGGACCAAAGTTGAATTGTTTTAATTAATAATTCTGTTTGAATAAAACAATTCACTTTTGACTAATTATATGTTGTCATCTTAATCCTGAGATGGATGATGAACC